TTTTGGTGATGAGCATCAAATGTTTCTACCTTAGGTTTAACTATTGATGCCCCATCCTTCTTCTGCCTTCACCGCAAGCTAGCAAGCCCTGTCTGCTGTATGGAAGAGGTAAGACCCCTGGTGTTGCTGGGTTAGCGTTAGCATGCGCTAATCCATGACTGGCTAAGTGCCCCACCAGCGCTATCTGTACCTAACTGATTCTCATGTCGGAACCCCCCTCATTGATTGAATTGGCGCTTTCTTGAAATTTCACCATGTCTAAGAGATCTCACTTGAGAACGAATAGTATCGTCTTACAATTCCAACTATAGTATACAATGTGGACGCTAGCTTAGTGAGATGTCGGTGTATTACCTATTACCTACCTGGTGCAGATCTTCGACATGATCCATTGACTTCTGAGATAGGTATCAGACTATACTGTACTATATGCACGCGGATAAATCATATCTATTCATCTAATCATACAAAATTGGCCTTTTCGTTACTATTAAAATTCTACCTTCTTCCGGTGGTGACCAGGGTACCTCTGGATACTCGTTGAGTCGCGCGTGATGAGAAGGACAGGAAGGAAAGACTCGACGCCGTGTTGAATTTCGACCGAGCACCCTGATCTTCCTCTGATTTCTGAGGTCCGTGAAGGGGAGGAAGCTCCACGCTTTTACGAGGTAAGAACCAACTGTCGCTAGTCGTCATCTTATTTACCGCACGAAATACTCTCTCCAGTCGGAACGACGCCCCAAACTCAGGCTGCAACAGTGCCTCAGCGGATTTACATCTCGTGAGAATCGCCAAAGCATCAGTCTCGCCCAGAAGTGCCGTCCAACGTCGCCATATCCGGCAGTCATTAGACGCGAATGTGTTGAATATAGCCTGTTGAGGGAGAAAATATCGAAGGGGTCGTGGGGATAGTAGGTGGTATAACAGGTTGTCGACCGCATATCCTAAGAATGGATACGATGATAGGATGAGATTGCGCTGGTCCCTTACGTTCCGCTGCCATGCGGGTGACATCTCTAGTGGTGAGGCGCTCTGTTTCGGTTCCGGAGAATGATTCCCGCTCACCAGGGGCGACAGATCAGATGTGTTCAGGTATACTAAGATCGTTCGGAGGAGGCTATAGTGGCAGAGGTCGACCATCTTGTGGCCGGGCGGTATGGTCGGCGCTCGTCCTAATGATAAGACAGCAAATCCCCTCCCGGATAAGAAGAACGATCTGACGGAGTCATTGATGGGATAAATATGCTGAAGTCCTAGCGACTGTTGCGCCTTACCCTCCGCATCCGACGGCCTCGCCTCCAGGAGACCGCATGTCCGGGAGCAAAGCCACTGGTAAAATTGGGACGGTGTATCGAAATGCTTGCCCGTCTTCTGTAGCTCTTGCATTGACCAAGGTACTCCAACATCCAATGCGGTTTGAGGATCGTAGCAGAGCATAAAACTCGTGCGGCTCAAGCGGACTGCCATTCGCAGGTCATTGAGATTCATAGGCTCCGGTGACAGCATAACCCATCGCATGACTACCGTAGCATCCGCTTTTTCTTTTAATGAGAGGGTTCCCAAGATCCTTTCATATAGCTCATAAATATCTGTGGGAAGCTCCCCTAGTGCTTTGTCCACGAGGTCGTACGTTCCTCTACCATCACCACCATCGATAACTTCGTTGAGAAGGTTCGTCGCAAGTTGTGCCCACAAGAAACTACATCCAGCCTTCTCGGTAATATTTCTCACAGCGAAAGACCGCTGCTCCCAATCTGTCCTCAGACGGGTCTGTACTAACCATTCAATATCTTCGAAGTTATAATCTTCGAGTTGTAACTGAGTTATATTGGTTGGGATTGGTTCGCTAATTGGTCGACTGGCTAGACACACACTGAAATTCGAGTTCCGAGCCATGAGGCATAGGCAATACAAGAGTTCCCGGATATATTCATCGTCGCAAATATTTTCCGTGTCGATTAATATGAACGTCCTTCTTGCCAACGTCCGAGGCTTTCCCATGATATACTCATCGAGAAAGAATCGAGTCAGATCTAAATCGGTGATATCACCCTCGTACACACTAGAAAGTCTTTCGCGAAGATTCGGGTCGTGTACAAAGAGCTGAGAGACCAGGGAGCGGATTGTCATGATCGAACGCATATTTCCCAGCCTTGGATCTGACAGAATGCTTTGGTCGAGACTTTGGCTCTCTGCAGTGCAGTATATAATCGAGGTTGTAGCAGGCTTCCATTGCTTTTCCATTTGGCAGCGAATATGTTGTAACTGGGTCGACTTACCCGAGCCTAGAGCACCCGTCAGCCAGAGTATTTGCTCGTTGCTACCACCCTGGCGACGATACCAATCGGAAAACTCCTTCGTACTGCATATTCGTTTGCATGTAGTCAGCGAAGTCTCCTTAAGAGCTGACCGGGAGCCTCTACACCCAACGCGGCCACGTCTGAGTCGCTGCAAGCAGTCTAATGTGATTTAGTCTATGTATCAAGAACAAGGGTGTCGTAATTGCGTACTTATCTCTCTAACAATGGGTACTCGATGCTGTAATTACTCATCAGCAACGGCTATGAATAGGGATTTGACGACGCAATGCTACCTTGAGTTTCTCGTCCCTCACGATATCCTGGATAATTTTCGTCGGTGATTCAAAATCGATATCACTCGCTGAATTGAAGTTTGGCATTGTGTGACGGTGAACAGATAAGCTTTCTGCATCTTTTCTCACGCCCCCAAGCTTACTCCCCTTGGTATAACTGTTCTAGTCTGATACGTAAGCTCGTTTCCAATTATTTACTCAAGACAGTGTATGACCTACAATTGACCTTTCTGTATCACACTGCCTCTCCTCATATGTCTTAACTACAAAGTTGAAATGGTACGATAAACGAATAAACGCATCCTGTGCTTCGTCCCATTTAGGATTATTCACGCCACACAGAGCAGAGAACGCTGAGCTCTCTGCTTTGCCGTCGAAAGACGCCTCTGCCATTATCACCGCAGCGTCTTCTAGCGGCTCGTCCTTCATAGTCCAGCGCGGACAGTCAAAGAACATGACGGCTGCCGTAGAGCTTAGAATCTCCTGTTCATTTTGTGTATTACTCAACTCAGCCTGACGCAGCATCTACAGACAGTTCCCATTATTAGTATTTCCGCATGTGACGCTGTGTCCACAAACTCACCTCCATCACAATAATCCCACTAAGGGAATGCGCGACAAAAACCAAGGGTTTTTGTTGCACATTGGTACTATTCCGAAGACCTACAAGCTCCTGGAGAAGGTCCTTTGCGTGAAAAGAGAAATCGGGCTGAGTAGTAACCGGTTCATCGCCACGGCGGAGAGCATGATATCCCCAAGTAATGATCCGCGCCTCCGGACAAAGCAGAGGCAATAGATCACGCGGCCAGAAGAATGGAGAGGACGCATTCTGCTCAGACTGCCGCGCGTTATTCCGTGAAGCGGTAGCTGATCGACGTTTCCTCTCTGCGGATCGCGTTCTCCTAAGTAGCAGCTTCCAAGATTCATCACGCTCGAGCAGCTCGGTTTTTGCTCGAGTAGTAGATGCTAATACGCTTTCATCGCACTGCCAGCTTTGTAATATTGGATGTCCCCCTAAGCCATGGATGAAGACAACGCTAACAGAGAGTCGTAAGCTTATGCATATCTAGACAACGGAGTAACAAGAAATCAACCTACTCAACAAGCGTGTTTTCGCTCTTTTCTAGCTCATAAAGCACATGAAGGCCGACCAAGGGGAACCCCTCTTGGAGTGGACTCATGGCGGCGTATCATGAACGATCCCAATGCATTAGGATAATAATTTTCCATGATAATGCCCAGTTAGAATGCAGAGTGCCGCCAGCACTGCTTATATCCGACGAAGAATTAGGCAGTTGGTGCCTGATCTGCTGTGATGTGATCTGGCATGCAATAAGTTATTGATGGTGGGGGTCAGGGTTGTATGGCATGCTGGCTTGCTGGCAAACAAATTGTTCGCCTCATTCAGCAAATCCCCCTGAGCATTAGACTTGCCTTATCCGTCTATCTTGTTCTCATATATAATCCGTGCCGCGTCGCCTTAGCCTGTCCGGCTGATTGATTGGCCACCCGCGTGCAATCGGCATAAGCCTGATTTTTTAAAGTAGGTAAGTATCACGACACGCCATTTACATATAATATCCATGGTCGTAGCAGCAAATTGATCGACAACAGTATTGCGCGCGTTGCTGTCATCGTCGGCGTCGGGGGACACGGTGTGACGCCCCGAGACGGGAGTGTTTCAGCTTACGTCTCTTCGCCTAATGAGATCGTCTTTGTCCCCCCATGTTACTTGTGACTGAGGCTGGATTGATGGATTTGTTCAACATTGCGTTTCAATGCGTAGGCTATCACATCTTCCAGCACCTCATGACCAGAAAATGTGCCACAAGACTTTTACACCAGCGCAACCGCCCCATTTATTAGTTGAAATTCCTATAAGTATGAACATTGCCATCGCCTGAGACATTGCGGTGCGCAAAGGTTCCGTCTCCGTTGGGGTGCTCTGTTTTCCTACCCTATTGAACTGAAGCCATAACCGAATACTGAAAGGTTATAACAGCAAGATCCCGGTCTGAGCAGTAATCGCTAGGGAGATACGTAGGACAATTAGTCGCACATGAGAACCGTAATTTCACCAAGGCATGTTGCCATTTTGTTATGGGGAATGCTGCGTAATATCAGATTATTGCAATCTGTGAGAAATGTATACGGGTAGTAGTAGTCTTATGTGGATGTCTAGTTTTTCGTAATGCTCAGAACATACTGCCACCAAATGAAGGTGGAAGGTAGGATTCGAGTGTATGGTGTATTATCATGCAATTCTAATAAGAAGCATGATGGTTTTCTATCATTCTTAAGGAACAGCAAGTACCGTAAATAAAATCATACCTAACATTGAAAGTCAGCTTCCCCCGGGATGGCGATTATAGACCCTAATCGTGATAAGCTTAGTCATGCGAAATCGTCTCGATTGGTCTAGTGGTCAGGATACCTGCTTGTCATTCTATAAGTCGCCATTGATGATGGTATAGATATAATCCGCAGGTGGCCGGGGTTCGATTCCCCGATCGAGAGGTCTATTTTTTGGCCTTTCTGCAAGGTGTCCACTTGGATTCAGATAGGGGTAGAGGCTTGACGAAGCCCACTTGAAGACCATGGATATATATACCTTTACGGAATTATTGCAACAGAGTTAGATTTCACCAATCGGGGTTTTCAGCTATGAAAATCGCAGAAGGAAAATTAAACTACATGAAGTGATTACTTTGATATTTTAAGAAATGACAGACAGGTGATAACTGTTTCGAAGTTACATCATGAGTAGCTTAGAATTCCTGAAAATAAATCCAACCATAATTGTTATCATTGAATATTCCATGGTAGAAAGAATGGCTTCATTCAGTAAGAGGGAGTTTTTATTGTTTCTCTGACTCCCATGTACGTAGATATTTTTTTCTTGCTCTTTTCTGTTACCCACCCAATTGTCAATGGGAACATAACTTTGCGTGTAACCGCTAGAACCCCAGGATCTCGTTTGCTTTTCTTATAACTTCCCTAGACATAGGACTGTCTGATTCCGCCGTAGGAATCTTCTCAAAGCCAAAAGCCTGTAAGCCATAAGATTCAGCATGCGCTCGAAGATAGGACTCCGTCGGCCTATTAAGATGTTGTGATTCGCCTACTCCGCCAGGGTAATCTGGAGCGGGAGTGCCATCCAAGAAAGTTTTTCTTTGGCGCATAAGATATTGCGCGTTTTGTTCGGTAACGGGGCATACTGGGATGTAAAGCACACCTGAGGCCGACTGCCCTTGGTGGACTTTGTCGACGCCATGAATAGCTGAGTTATCATATTAGTTCTGCAGCATTTAGATGGATGAAAGCCAAGACTCACTGTCACAATGCCACAAGACAAAATCACCTGGGCTGACTTCAGGCACGTGCACCATACTTGTTTCAAGCTCAAGGTGTGGGTGGAGGTCATTATTCAGTTCTTGTCCCTTGCCTGGTGTTGCTCCTTGTAGCTCGCTCGTCATCTCAGAGCCAGCGAACACCCAGTTATCTACTGATAAGTATTCTTCGGTGGATACATCGTTTTTCCCCTTGATGGGTTTGAAGAATGGGCGGAGCAGTAAGTACGCGGATGACAGTTGGATCAGGGGATTCACCAGTAGAGTACCCTCAAAAGCTTTGGTATGGCTCATGCTTAGCCATCCCTGGAACATGCGGAACATCGTGCATGCTCCGAGTCCGTTGTAGTTGTCCATATTGGCGTTGACTCTGGTGCTGGCATCCCATGGGTCGTACTCCTCCCACGACCCTTCGAAGATCTTGTTGTAAACGCCACCGAGCCCATAACCATGCTTCTCCCACCGCTCGACGCTGCCTCCATCAATGTGGGGGCCCAAGGTGAATTTTGTATCACCAGGTTGTCTGATTCGTAGACGATCTGCATAGGCAAGAGTCTGCGACAGCGAGATGGAGCTCTCAGGGTTCGAAATCTGCCAGATATTCATGAGTTCGGTTTGCACCTTTAAGAGATTTGGATGTGCCCGTGCACGGATTTGAGGGCTTGACCAGTACAGCTCGAATACTTGAGGGTTGTCCTGTGGCCATGCTGCTTCTGGCGTTAGAAATGTTGGGAAAGGGTGTGGGTGGTGGAATTTACCAGTCGTTGATGGATTCTGTCTGACATATTCTTCAAGATCACTCTTGTATGAGGCGGCTTCATCCTCGGGTATCACACCCTTGATGACAACAACACCCCTCTTCTTGATTTCTGAGCGTAGTTTCGTAAGATCTTCCTCAAGATTTGCGAATTGCAGGCTTGGAATGACTCCAGAGCCTTCTTTTGCGAGGATTCTGTTTTCCTGTTTTAGCTGAGTAAGGAGTCTCTGCCAGCTTTCGGTGACCTGGTCTTCATGGCCGGCCACCAACGATCTCTTCAGATCGAGAAAGCGTTGTGGTAGCGGTTTACTCCCACCAGATAACGATGCAAAAGAATCAGCAATACTGCCTTCTCTCTTAGTTTGGTGCATATTGGAAGCTATTGCGGTTATGTGGAGTACAGAACTGGATTTCAAGATCGTTGGGTTAGATAGGAAGATGATATTGGATATGGCCCTTAGATGAAGACGGATTATAAGGATATATATACACACATTGTGACGGAGCACCCCGCTTATGGTGTGCGGGTTGAAGGGCTTATTAGGACATGAGCATACCAGCTGTATTAGGAAAGCCATGATAAGTGAGCTTGCGTGTACGCAAGAACATGGAATACTGTCCTTTCCGTGCCCCACCCACTTTTATATGATGTGCCACACGTTTCTTAGACTCAACAAACCGCGATCCAAACATATAAAAGAATTCTACTACATACCTACCCATACGGGACTAGCAAGGGCTCTAGAGACGGGTACGGACTAGCAAGGCTTAAGTACCTATATAAAGGTTTCTTAGCCTTTCTAAATTCTAGCTAGTTCGTATAAGCAGATCTCTAAAACTTTTGCTAGTCCTTACACGCAGATCTATCGCATAAATTGGTCAGAATCGAAACAACACTAAAGTTACCCCAGACTTTTAAACGAATAAGAGGTCTTCATATGCTCTTGGCACCAGTCGAATTTACTCAGATAATGCGGTATACGTATAAGTCTGTACGGCTAGGTCTATACGGCTAGATTCGTACGTGTACGTTTTCATCGGTAGTTTCACACGGGTAGGTATGCATAGCTAGGTCCGTATCGGTAGTTCTGTACGGCTAGTCGTCTGTACTCCGTACGCGTAATGTCGGAATAGCCTCTGTAATGGAGGGCGATGTGTCTGGTCGGAATGATGACCGCCGACATGGTCTTACATGTACTACTAATGACGGAATACGTCGGGCCGCTAGTAGCATGAAAATACGTCTTATCCTGGAGAGAAGTATAAAATGAATATCATTAAATGAATATTATTAGCGGGCTATTGTCGGAGTCTTGCTCACGAGTAAACTTTCAAACCTGATAATCTGATACGCCGTCACGATGAGAGAATGTTAGTGAGCGGATTAGCCTATTTCGGAAACTCCGTCGTGTCGGAGTTGATGGTCGAAACGGGTCCTCAATAGAGCGGACTAGATAAAGTATAGTAAATCATGAGCTTTCTTTGTGTCTAGTATTCTGCAGCCAGTGTGTGTTCTTGATCCTTTCATATGTATAATGAATACCTACCCGATTCGTCTCATATGGAATCGGAGAGACGGCGGAGATGACGAATTAGGTGAATACCGCTCCATCACCGTCAAACCTTAAAGAAGATATAATTCTGCCGTTGTCAAGCCATGGTCAAATTCGTGGAATCAGACACGACCGGCTTGCCGCTCAAGCGAAAACAAGTCGCACATGCCTGTGAAAAGTGCCGTCGCCGGAAAAAGCGATGCATTCACACAGATCCGAAAGTGCACGGCGATCCGTCTTCCGCTCGGTCGCCCGACAATTCATCGGCGGCGGAGCGGTCGCAACTTTCGCAACCTTCACCCGGCAATCGGAGTAGTAAAACGCATGTGTCAACTCCGGGCCTTTCCACCGGCGACACAGCTCTATCTTCTCCCGTCGTCGTTCAGAATGGGGAGCAAGATAAGCGCGGAGAGACCCATTCTTCAACATATTACGGTGATTTAAACCCAGAGGCAATTCTGATGGAGGCTACCAGCCTATGCTCTAAACGTGACGTCTCAGCACCCGGCGGCCTTGGTATTTGGCAGGCCCCTATTGTTCCTCGCACAAGTATACAAAATTTGAGCGTTCCGAGTGTCCAGTCGTCTTCGCGACAGGCGGTTCAAGACATGTTGAAGTCGTATCTGTGGAATCACTGTCTACCGTGCCGCGCTCCGGCATCCGACTATGCGGTATTAAGACGTATTTATTTTGAGAAGATGAACCCTCTATTTCCCATCTTTGAAGATCCATCAGTGTCCAGCAAACCAGATGAACCAACGGACATCCTTGTTCAGCAGGTTATCAGCCTTGCAGCTGCCAGCGACCCGGAAGCTGGTCAGCACCTTCGGACGAGTCCTAACGGACCCCTCCTCTCCCGCCAGGAATTCTGCGCCTCCCTCTCCAACTCTGTTTTGACAACACTGGAAGCGGGAGTTGTGACGGATCGAGTCTGGCTCACTCGCTTGTCAGCTGCTTTGTCGCTATACACACAACCCACGAATGCTGAAGAAGCTGATATTCCGGCCCTCTTAAATAGTCGCGCTGTTCATCAAATGCATACACTTGGCCTTCAGATGGCGGTAGACGACGGGCATCAGAAGAGAGACATGATCAGGACGATTTTCTGCTGCTTATGGGCGCTTGATCGCATTACAAGCGCATTCTACGGCCGGGCTTGTTTAATACACGAACGAGACGTTGGCTGGGATATAGATGATTGCATCCGTGCACAGGCGCCCCCTTTCCGCCTTCTTTTAATGATCATTACTCTACTGGATAAAGTAATTGGCTTATACCGTCCTGGAACTCGGCCTAGTAAACCTGTTCTCATCGAGTTACCCATATTCGAGCAGATGGTCCTGGATGCGGAGGCATTAAGGATGACGAGCTCTTGTCTCGGTAAGTTCGATGCATAGAGAAAACAGAGGACAAGCTGCTAATTCATATCAAGCTTCACTGGAGGTATTTTATCACTCAGTTGCCATATTGTCGGCCCAGTCGCCAGCTGACCTAGCGTCATCTACGCTGCCCAACCCCGCGACGAACAGCCGAAGATCTTTGGCGGCAGATCGGATCACGTCAATAATTAGCGAGGAGTTTGCCGGACAACTTTCATATATGCCATTTATACCGTACGCGGTCTCCCTGTCTCTTAGCGTGTCATATAGGAAAATGCGGCACAGTAAGGTCCCCATGTTTAGGAATCGCGGTAAACAGGCTTTTCGAAAGAACATACTCCTGTTGAAATCGATGGACGACATGTTTTGGAAGTCGAAAACCATGGTAGCCATGGCAGAGCAGGTTCTCAACGAGATGGACAAGGCGGTCGCATCGCTCGCTCAAGAGAATGGGCTGACAGATCTCTCAAAGAGAGTC